CACATAGTTAGCCTGGGTTTGATAATCTATATTGTTTATCATTCCTCAATGTATATTGAATTGAGGTGAAGCAGGTGAATATGTAAAGCAAACTTATCGACATAAAATAGAAGCTTTAAAGATATTACGTGATACACTACAACTATGTTCGATTCGGCTACTTTGAAAAAGTTTGTTTTAGGAGATTGGGTTTATTTTACTTAATAGCTGATTCGTTAAATAACTGATTAACTTAATTAGATGAATGAAGATATAAAGGCTGCATAGTAGCCTATACTATCGAAAACCGAATAAATCTATTCACGATTTAGATTTCTTTCATAGGCAAGCGGATTTACTCGACATGGATGTAGCAACGATCAACGTGACGAGGTTCATTATCATCATAGTCATTACTGCAAAGGTATGAGCTATAAGTAGAGTGAATTTGATAACTTGTCACGAGAAACTTGGAGTTTTCATTAAAAGGTTAGTGCGATTTAAGCTTTTCATATCGACAATTAATTATTCTATGAATGTCAATCATTCTCAGAACTTAAAGATAGAAAACCAAAAATCTAATCACATCACTAATCACTTGTTACTTCTATTGTAACAAGTTCTTTTGAACACACATTTGACAATGTCGAAATCAAAATTTTCACTTTCACTTGACTTCACAAAGACACATTTTATCTGTACAAATAAAATGATGACTTTTGTTATTTATTATAACTCGTTGAAGCATAATTTACTGAGTGATCATTTTATGTTATTCGTAAGCTTACAAACATTTACAAATCACCTAAGTAGAGGATTATTTAAAATCATGAGTCAGTTGAAGCTAGATCACCATGGAAAACCTGAAAGCACCGGACAGCCGTTTCGTCCTATCATGGGACTCTTCAGCAGTACGCATCCACGATCACGCACTTGCGAAATTCAAACCCAGGACCTACCTGTCTCGCACCAGAGCACTTAACCTCTAGATTTATTCTTTACGAAGAAACTTTCCTTTAAGTTTTACAACTGTTATGGAATATGTAGTCAAAAAGTAGCACAAACAAACTGCTAGATAGCTAGACCAAGTATTTGTATTTTCCTATTATGTGTGCTTAATATTCATAATATTCATAACCGAAGACAAAATCAAAACAACAAAAGTACACGCACATAGACAATTCGTTCAATCGTTTACTAAAGTATAATATTCTTTTTATTTATTACGCTATAGTTTATGATTATCAAGTATCAGTTGATTCTGCATTATAACATTTCATAGACATATACTACCGGGAAAATTATATAGAATTTTCAATTCATGTGCAATGAAAAAATGTAAGATTTCTGAATCAAATGTAATGACTCCTACTGGTACTATGTGCGAAACGATAAATTATACTGATGTACTTTATATAATTCTATCATATAGTCTTTATAAATACAACTATTGGGTTTAATGCAGTCTAATGAGACATATATATAATGTAAAATATATCTTGACTGAAAACCACTAAATACCAACAAATATGTAGTCTCATAGTAGGATACAACCTTGAACTTTATATAATCTGGGTTAAATACCGTAAAAAACTGTTTAGACCTATTATTGTTGTAATCTTGACTATAATAACTTTTGAGTGATGACATTTGAATGTTTGAAAACCATGTAATTCTGTGAAATAAATTACATTTCCTACGAAGCATAATGTAACTTTAAACGCCAAGTTGTAAATACTGAGATTGATGTCACAACATTTTGGTACACTTAGCTCTCAGTTTGAACTATCAGCGGTCACCTTTGGGCCGAGCTTTAGTCAGGAATCGTTATCATAGTATAAGCGATTTCTTTCATTAACGTGAAATAATAACAGGTACCGTGCTATTAAATAAGTTATTACTGATATATATATATATATATATATATATATATATATATATAACTCTTCAGCGTTTTACAATAAACAGAATCATTTCATAACTAGGTCAATCGTATATGCCATCACGTATTAGCACTAATATGTACTCGTGAAACTCTGTGGGTAAACTGTTCAGTTAGTTCTTTTTAGATTGTGCCAGTTCACATAGTATTAGTGTTTATGTTCGTTCGTTAGTATAACATAATCTGAGAGTTCAAGTAAAGGAAATTACATGATTATGAAATCGGGGAAATATCTATTGTAAGTAACTAAAAAACCGATATGGAATAACATATTTTTGCCATATGGTTGAATATTGACAAACATTGTTTCGAGGTGAAATATATATTTTGATTGTATACGTCGGCAAAAGTTTGTTCATATAAGCATATCTTAACCCTGGAGCCACAATTAAACAAAAATGTTTAGCTAATTTCGAATAAATTGAGCATTGGGTAGTTTGTTAAAAATAAATTAATATATTTGTAATATCCTAATGAGTAAAAAAATTAGATTTTCTGACGTTTCGTGACTTATTGTAAGCTACTTCTTCACAAAATAAATAACCAAATTAAAATTAATGCAAGTGTAAATAGTCCAACGGAACAGTTGTTCCACTGGGATATTACAAATATATTATTTATTTAAAAACGTCTAGCTTTTATAAGTTCATTACTTGATATCAGTGTACTCAATGTAAACGTTTATTGAAGTTTTAGAACATGATAAAACTGTTATTTGATGCAGATTCATGACTGATTAAACTAACTTACGAACAGCGTGAAACGACTCGACAAATTATTGATTTTCTCCCATATATAAGTTAATGACGTCAGTAAATCCTTTTTTTATTCGACGTCAAGTTACTGTATAGATAATAAGAAGTAAAGTCAAACTATTTCATTTCTTCCCTTCACCTGAAACATATTTTGTCATTTTGCTTAAGGAAAGATTCAGTAGCCAAGAAAGTAGAAAAGAGAAACAGCAACAGTTTATTAATGAATTTGTTCCCTACATTTTTCTTCTGTTGATAATCAATAAATATCATGACAAGAGTTAAAGATTATTGTCACTTTTGAAATTGTCTATTTTCGTAATCTTATTTTTCTATCAGTCAACAGATGTAAAGTAATTGACTACTACTGTGGTGTGAGCTACTGATATCGATATAAGTAGTATATATGGTGAGTAAGGAATAGAATATCTGACAGCAGAAGATTGAGAAGATCAAGAAGAGAAGAACAGAAATAAAAAGCAATTTGTGTGGAAATCCAGGAACAATGAAGTCTGAGGCAATTGAAGAACATTTTGCAAATAGTGTATCATAGCATGGTTTTTGTATTTTACCAAGTAACGTTGTAATTTGCGCTAAATACATAGTTGGTTGTCCTCACCCGTGTTCTCATTCACAACATTTGGTGTCGCTGCCTCCAGGGATGAAGATTCCATGGCCGAAGGAATTTGAGGACGGGGATGTGCTGAGCTTCCTGAAGGAGTTCGAAGCTGTGGCGGAGCTGGTGGGGGTGAAGGAGCCGAAGGCGAAGACGGTGGTGCTGGGGACGCTGCTGAGAGGCAGAGCGAGAGCTGTATATGACAGCCTGGACGGTGCGGGCGGTAAGACGACATGGGAGGCAGTCACGGAGCGGTTGACCGTGGAGTTCGATAGCCCAGTGGACAGAGAGGAAGCACTGCAGAAGTTCCGAGTGGCGAAGTTGCCGATCGATGGTGATCCGCTGGTGCTGGCCGTGGAGCTTACCAAGTTGCTGCGTCGCGCGCTGCCAAATCTGGATGAGGAGTCGGAGGCACAGTTGTTGGCGTCTCAGTTTATCGAGAGCGTGCCTGTTGCCGTTTCCCAGCAGCTGAGACTGGTACACGCCGCGCAACCTATGGATATCAGTGAGCTTGCAAAGGTGACGCGACAGTTGATGACACAAACAGTAGCTCCGGTCGCGTGCGGAAGTCAGGAGATAAGCAGCATTGAGAAGAAGATTGAAGAACTGCAGCACGAGATTGCGGCATTACGAGTGATTCGAAAAAGGAATGATAAGTGTTTTGCATGTGGAGGGACAGGACACTGGAAGATAAACTGTCCAACACGACGAAAACGGAGATATTTTAGACGTTACGTGTTTCCTTCTTACTCTAGGGATCTGGGGGTTGTTGCATTAGTAGATAGAGGGGCAGTCTATGCAAGAGTGAACGTAAATGAACTAGATTTAGTGTGCCTAATCGATACAGGGGCAGCAGTTTCGTTAATAGGTAAAGAGCAATGTAAAAGTTTTAAGCCGTGTAAAGTCGCAGTTCACACTATAGGAGGGCATATGTTAGAGGTATTGGGCGTGTCTAACAGTATCGTAAAAGTGGATGGTTCGGAGATAAGTTTTCCGTTCGTGGTAACCGCAAACCTGTCGAGACCAATATTAGGAGCAGATTTCCTAAGAGAAGTAAAAGCCATAGTTGACCTAAGAAGCGGTAAGGTGGTCACGAAGTACGGTTCATTCTCAATACATGAAAGTAGTGAGGTGGCTGAGGTTAGAGTGGCAACAGCCGTTGTGACGAAGAAACCAAACATAACCGAGTTGTGCAAAAAGTATGCGAAACTGTTTACTGGAGAAGGAGAACCGTACGGATTTTGCGACAAAGTAAAGCACGAAATCCCGATAAAGAACAATGGAGGAAGTATATTCACAACACGTCGTGTCCCTGTGCACTTAGAGGCTGAAGTAAATCGACAGGTCCAAGAGATGCTGAAAGAAGGAATAATTGAGGAGGCGGACAGCCCGTATAGCTCACCGGTACTCTTGGTAAAGAAACCGAATGGGAAATATAGATTTTGTGTTGATTTTAGAGAACTGAATAATATAACAGAACTAAAGCCGTGTGCAATGCCAACAGTAGTGGAAACATTAGATCGGCTGCAGAATGCCACGGTGTTTACAGTGTTGGATTTGCGGTCAGGTTATTGGCAGCTGCCTATAAAAGAGAGCGATCGAAGCAAGACAGCATTTACCATACGTGATAAACAATATCAATTTAGACGAATGCCGTTCGGATTGGCGGGCGCACCTTTTACGTTCAGAAGATTAATGTCGCTACTGCTCAGGGATCTGGATAACGTCGAAGTGTATGGCGACGATGTAGTCGTATACAGCCAGACAGAAACAGATCATGTCAAGCATGTGGAAGCGGTCCTAAAGCGAATTGAAGAATTCGGACTTCGAATTAATAAGGACAAGTCACAGATGGCGAAAAGTAGCATCACGTTGTTGGGGCATAAAGTGGGAAATGGAGAAATAAAACCGCTGCCGGAGAAAATTCTGACTATAAAGAACGTTGCAGTACCGAATTCGAAAAGGAAATTGAGACAGTTCCTGGGAAGGGCGGCGTTCTACAGTCGGTTCATCAAGAATTTCAACGAAATAGCAGCACCCCTTTATAAGTTGTTGAGTAACACTAAATTTTCGTGGACTGAAACCGCCCAACAAACGTTTAATCAAATCAAAAACATGCTGGACGACCGCCAGATGACGCTCAGACTGCCCGAACTGGAGAAACCGTTTACAGTGACAACAGACGCAAGTGACCATGGTATAGGTGCCGTTTTAAGTCAGTCTGATAGAGTAGTGGAATACGCAAGTCGCGTTCTCACGCCTGCCGAACAGGAGTATTCAACGATCGAAAAGGAGTGTTTAGCGATTGTGTGGGCAGTAGACAAGTGGAGACCATATCTGTTAGGTAAACGATTTCACATCGAGACTGACCATAAACCTCTGCAGTGGCTACAAACAGCACGAGACCCACGTGGGAAGTTGGCGCGATGGATGATACGTCTGCAGGAGTATGACTTCAGTATCGGGCATGTTCCAGGGAAGGAAAATGTGATGGCGGACTATCTGTCAAGAACAGACATGGAAGCCGAGCTTCCATTGACAGCATACGCAGTGAACAGTATAGAGGGAGACCCACTAGAACTCGTCCGGCAGCAGAAATCTGATCCTAAACTGCGAGAGGTAATCAGAGTGATAAGAGAGGGGGCAGATTTTGACAAACGAGCAATGGACAAGGAGGCAATAATGTTGCTTTGGCAAAAGGAAAGACTGAAAGTGAACACATATGGAGCTCTGGTCTGGCAGGATGATGACAAAAATTGGGTGGCTGTGATCTCGAAAGACTGGCGGCGTAAGATGATACACGAATGCCATCAGGTAGCGCACACTGGTATCGCAAGAACGACAGATTTACTACGGCAAAGTGCATACTGGCCAGGCATGAGATACGATGTGGCCCAATATGTGTTGACGTGCCAGCAGTGCCAATTAATGAAAAGCGATAGATACATGCAACCGCCATTGCAGTCGGTCCCAGTAACCGCAGTTGGTGATCTATGGTCGGTAGATGTGATGGGACCATTTCCACAGACGGATAGCGGCAACCGATACTTACTAGTTATGACGGAACATGCTACACGATGGGTCGACGCTGTACCGATTGCCGACCAGCGGGCGAAAACAGTGACCGAAGTAATAATCCGGCACATTGTAGCAGGTCATGGAGTACCGAAGATGATACTAACCGACCAGGGTCCCTGTTTTGAAAGTGACGAGTTTAAGGCCCGTTTGAAGCAGTTCGGTATCAAGAGGATACGAACTACACCGTATCACCCTCAGACGAATGGGCTTACGGAAAGAAACAACCGGACATTAAAGGAATGGTTAGCATCTAAAGGAGGGAATTGGGAGAAAGAGTTACCACTAATTTTGCTGGCGCATCGTGCCTCCATCCAAGGAACAACTAAGAAATCACCTTTCCTACTTATGTATGGTAGACAGCCACGACTTCCGATGCATAATATGACGTGGCCACAGCAGCAGAAGTGGACGGCAACAAGATTAAGGAAAGAGAGGACGGAGGCAATAAAGAACGTGAAAAAGAAACAAATATCAGACACCAAGAAGGTGGAACAGCAGAGAAGAGCATGGAAGCCTTTTAGAGTGGGGGACCTGGTAAAGTGTAGAGAACGGAGAGCGAACACTGAAGGGGGACCAGGGTCAGGAAAGCTGACCCCGAAATGGGAGGGACCGTACATTATCACGGAGAGACGCGGCCCAGTTTACACGATCCGGAGAGAAGACAAGCAGAAGCGTGTAAATGCCAGTCAACTACAGAGATGGTTTCAGGAACATCATGAGCACGAGTCACGAACAGCACCAAAGGAGACAATGGTACGGCGATCAGAAAGATTGCGAGAACAGCTTATTAAAAGGGGGGACGAGTGTGGTGTGAGCTACTGATATCGATATAAGTAGTATATATGGTGAGTAAGGAATAGAATATCTGACAGCAGAAGATTGAGAAGATCAAGAAGAGAAGAACAGAAATAAAAAGCAATTTGTGTGGAAATCCAGGAACAATGAAGTCTGAGGCAATTGAAGAACATTTTGCAAATAGTGTATCATAGCATGGTTTTTGTATTTTACCAAGTAACGTTGTAATTTGCGCTAAATACATAGTTGGTTGTCCTCACCCGTGTTCTCATTCACAACACTACTCCTAAATTGGAAATATGTATAAGAGACAACAACGTATCACATTCAACTATACTGTACAAGTAAACATAATTTTATGAAAAACGAGTTTCTGCATAGGAAAATTGTGTAACTAACTGATTAGAGACTGACCAGTTGCAGTCCTAAACACATCGATGGGAAGATCCAAACAAACAATACTAGGTGAATTCAAACTTCACCCCATCGCACAAGCAAGTGGCTATGAGGACTCAGTGGCCGAGTGGATAACGCGATGGCGTTTGAAGTGAGGGTACTGGGTTCGAGTCCCAGAGTGAACATCAACTCTGAGATGCAGGTACATCCAGCTGACGAATCCAAAATAGGAGGAAACTGGATTCCACTGCTAGCCACTATCCATCTTTGCATACAATGGTTGTGAATTAAGACTATATCTAGGCAATACACACAGTATGCACATATATCAATTAGAGACTGACCAGTTGCAGTCCTAACACATCGATGGGAAGATCCAAACAAACAATACTAAGTGAATTCTAACTGATGATTAATTTTAAATATTGTTCACTCTGTCTGATTAAATATTGATGAATTTTGCGTTGATAGCTTAATTTATCTCAGCGATATTTCTCTTGATTGTTTATTGTATCCTTGTCATTTATAGTATTATGCATACAATTGTTGTCAATGTAGATAATGAACCGATAAGTTTTCTACCGAATGGTGGGTTAAACGTTTCCAAATTATTTATTTATAATTCAAGAATTATTGATGGTCGAATGAAATGGTATAAGGTAAAGTATAAACTTTTATAACTGTTCTACTAATTCTGTTTGCACATGAACGATGATTGAATTGATTATTTTTCATTTCAAACTTGTGTTTCTATAAATAGAAATTTCAACATTATCTTCGGTGTGATATTGAGCAGTAAAATTGCAAGAACAAGAATGAGTTAATTTTCATTCCTCTTGATAAAGAAAAAATCACTTATGAGCTAGTCTATTCTCACAATATTGCTTATTCTTATTACTATGTATGGAATTAGAATAACTGCAGGCGTATGTGAGCTCTCTGTATTACCTATACTGGATGATAAACCTAATATATATCGCCAAATATTACGTATTGAGATAGGACTACACGAAATTCTTCTGACTGACCGAACTCAGATATCCTAGTACGACCTCAATGCTATTCCCCAACTCCAATAAATCAGAACACAGCCGTTAAATGAGAATTGTTTATGGGGTCAGCAGCAAAACAAAAATACTTTACAGACAATGCATATTTATACAGTTAAGATGACTATGAACATTAATCAATGGAAAAAAGGACACGTAAAGGTTATAGTTAGGACAACTGTAAATAATGACCAATAGGAAATAACATGTGAAAAGTTTAAAAAGATACCACTTTACGTTCGAGATAATTTTTGGGATATTCCTGTGAATATCCTAACAAAACCATTTAGAATAATGTAATGTCTAAGCATTTAAACCACGTGCAAATGTCTGAAATTTATATCATTCATAAAATTTAGAAGTTTGAGACAACTTCTCTCGTTATAGTTTGATAAGATTTAATAAAGAGTGAAAGATAAAAACTTTATTACTTACTACTAGAATAAATTCAGTTTGAACTTAATTAAGTTTCCTTCGGAGACCGTCTAGCAAAGCAGCACAGTTTTCCAAATTCAACTACGCTATTTCGTCTAGAAAATGCATTATGATGTTTTACGTTTTCGTCACCAATTCAACATGCTCTAGAAAAGAGTAAAGTATGTCAAAATGATAACTTTATCTTATTAATTAGCTTTATATTCTTTCAGGAAACTATTCCTCAATATCTCTTTGTTTAATACAGAAGTTAGTAATTACTAAACGAAATGATTTTAATTATGAAATTTACCACATTCAGTATCTTATACTAACAGGTATTTGTCACTTTCTTCTATTTTGATCGTTGACGGTGTTATATCACCTCACTTGGATTCATTGTAATTGTCATTAGATATTTAAACAGCATCCATACAGGCCAATTTCAAAGTGATTTGAAAATGGTTGCTTTTTGATTTCAAAGCTATACCTTTTGTTGTATCCCCTGGCGAATTATGAATCATAAATCTGATGTCCATTTATGGACAAATGTAATACGCCTATTCCTATTGGATAGTTGTTAAATGAGTAACCTAAATCTGATGTCTATTTATGGACAAATACAATATGCCCATTCCCTATTGGATAGTTGTTAAATAAGTGACCTAATCGTTTCCGTGTTCCTCTTATCACAACCGTTATTTTGACCTTGGAACTATTATTATTGATTACTTTCCCCCTAGCTACAGCCACATTGGCCAATTACTGTACAAATGTTATTTTTCTATTTTTTGGTATAATTGGGTCTGTTTGGTTAGTATATATAACCCAGTGTGCTTGTGAATAATGATTCATATTTCCGAGGCTGTTATTTGTGTTCTGGACTCAACTGGCTGGGCTAGGCAGTTAGGAAGGACTGAATAGCAATCAAGACTGCTCGTACGTATTTTCTGTATCATTGCACGTTTCATATACAATAACGATTGTTATACGAGTCATAACAATTGGCGACGGGGATTCTGAAAAAAAAAATACAGCAGCCGCTGACGTCATTTTGGAATTAAATAATCCATAATAATTGCCGGTTTTTTTTTGGATTATTATTATTATTTGCATTAAAAAAAAATGGCTTTAACTTGCGACCAATTTCAGTTGCTAATCCAGCGACAAGAGCAGCGCTTCAGAAAGAGTCAATTGGATTTCATTGACAAATTACACGCGAAGCTGCTGAATCACCCATGCTTTGGGGGTGAAACGGAAGTTGACGCAATAATTTCAAAATTGCGTACAGAGCTGGAAAACGATTACAGAACTAATGAATATGCCGGCGAAAGCCTCAATGAATCCATACAAAGCAATATTTTAAGCGCAGCAGTTATACATGATCAGCCCAGTAACCCAGTACTACCTGTTTCAGAGACATGCCCTGTACACGGTCCAAGTCTTATTAATCCCGAAAACGGACGTGCAAACAATGAATTATCCTATTCACAGAAAGTAAATGTCTTGCAAAATGCTCATGAAATTGCTGCAGTACCCGCCCACGAAGAAACGGGAAACAAATCGAGCAGTATATGGAATACAGTGGCACCAAATGAAATTAATCATGATACGGAAAATGTTTCTAATGAATCTAATGATCAAAATTCTGTAATTGTTCTACCAGATTTAGATTATTTTGATGATTCATATGTTTCTGTTGAATTCTCTTATAAAAATGAGAGAAAAATGTCAGATGTATTTAATGATAATCAAGAATCCAATACAACTCTCATAGATACTGATTATCCTAATGATTCATTATCTACTAATGAGGTTCCGAGGAAATTCAAGGAAACTATTTCAGAAGAATCAAATGTTGGTGACCTCGAATCAAATGTCGTCGATCCTCATGATCTCTTCAGTTCTAATGCATTCCCTGTTAAAGGTGACAAACGTATCGCATTAATAGTAACTTGGCTATATGAGGATCCAACAGTCTTTCGTGGGGGAGGGTGAATTCGAGGAAATTAAAATTCCGGATTTCTCAAAAAGGGGAGGTGTTGTATCCCCTGGCGAATTATGAATCATAAATCTGATGTCCATTTATGGACAAATGTAATACGCCTATTCCTATTGGATAGTTGTTAAATGAGTAACCTAAATCTGATGTCTATTTATGGACAAATACAATATGCCCATTCCCTATTGGATAGTTGTTAAATAAGTGACCTAATCGTTTCCGTGTTCCTCTTATCACAACCGTTATTTTGACCTTGGAACTATTATTATTGATTACTTTCCCCCTAGCTACAGCCACATTGGCCAATTACTGTACAAATGTTATTTTTCTATTTTTTGGTATAATTGGGTCTGTTTGGTTAGTATATATAACCCAGTGTGCTTGTGAATAATGATTCATATTTCCGAGGCTGTTATTTGTGTTCTGGACTCAACTGGCTGGGCTAGGCAGTTAGGAAGGACCGAATAGCAATCAAGACTGCTCGTACGTATTTTCTGTATCATTGCACGTTTCATATACAATAACGATTGTTATACGAGTCATAACACCTTTAAAAACGATTTTAAAAAACTTTCAAGGTTTTTGACTCAATTTTAAAAACAAAGATACAGGTATTGAGTCTTTGAATTTAATTCTACCAGTCTGTAATCAGCAACTTAAAATTCCTATATTATTTCATCATGATAGGTAAAGTATGATTTAACTCGTTCTAACATCAAAGCAACTACGTTATTCTTTGAGATCAAACATATCCCTTAATGTTTAGAAAATATCCAGAATACATAATTCAAGTGGTACTTAATCAAGTAACTTTTTAAGGCGAAAAGAATACACAGAACTATATTACACTGATCAATCTCAGACTTATGAACTTTAGCAATACTTCAGTAAAAAAAATATTTTATCCGCTGCCTTGGGGAATATAAATTGAGTTTATTCAGTTTTTACGTAATGGGTTTTTAAAAAAAACTTTTGGTAATGTGGAAAACTACCATAGAATAGATACAGAGACACGATTAACGAACATCTTATTCTCAATAGACTAGTAATCATTTACGAATAGTAACACAAAAGATAACAAAAACAGACTTAGTGAAAATAACTTCGATACTAAAATACTATTGTCAAATGTAGCATTTTATATGTGATTTGATGTATAAAGTCTCATAGCAGCAAAGATAATAAACTATCAACTGAGAAATATACGCGTAAAAAGAAACATGGTCACATTAAT